AAGTCAGCATTGCCCAGACTGGAAATCTTCCCCCAAAATAGTTACACTTTCCCCCTTGTATTTAGTAACGTTCTGAATGCATTAATGGCAAGATACTTCTGGCTTAATAGAAACAGAGAATGTATTAGCTGTGCACAAATGCTGGCAAGTTAGTAAGTTCTGACAACTGTTTAAGGAAATAATGCAAAGTTTAGGTTTTAAAAGTTGCTAAACTGAATCTTGGTCATATACTGAAAAAACGAATGTCAATGCATTTGGTACATTTTCTTTCCTCAGTGGGAAAAATAAAAATAGAGTGACTGACACAGGAATTGCCTAACTAGTCGTCTATAAGTGAGTAGAGTGAATGAATCTTCAGGGGCCTCCCTGGTGGTGGAGGGGTTAAAGTCTCAGAGCTATCAAGTTATCACCAATGAGAGCTATAAAAGTTGGCCCAGCCAGGGAGCTGATCCACAGGGCACTGCAGACCTCTCCCTTTGCACCAGCTGCTCCCCTTAGCAGTGTATTTCAGAAGATCTGCCTGTTCTACTCCCCACGCTATCTCTCCTGAATCCATTCCCCCTCCACACCTCTCACCTACACCCTAGTTTACGAGTGCATAAATAAATAAAATAAATCTTTAAAAACTCAATTTATGGTAGCGTAAGATTCACCCAAATCCCTCCTCACACCCAGTCATCTGCCCAGCCCAGCCAACTCTGTCAGCCCCCAATACCTTCAAGGTGAACCCAAGATGCTGAGTACGATGGAGCAGGAGTGGAGGATCACAGGGCCCAGAAAGGGCATGTGGCTGAGAGAGGCGGCCTTGGAGTTCTCTGTGTCCCTGGCGGTGGTCGGTGATGCTGAAATGGAGACCCAGGAGTGAAAACCCTCATCCGGGCCCCACATGTGACAAGAGGCCTGCTCTGCATCTGCTGGGCCCAGCCCAAGCACAGGGGACCCTCTCTGCTCCTGTACTGGAGGGAGCATGGCCACAGGCAGGGGTGGGCAGGACAGGAGGAGGGCGCAGACCCCAGGGGCCCACACTGCAGAAGGAACCAGGGTGACCTCTAATCAGGCATCCCCGCTGTGACTGAAGAGGGCACCCCCGCAGGAGGCTGGTAGGGAATCCTCTCAAGCTGGCATTGGAGGGGGAATGGAAGGTCTGCAGATGCTGCAGGTGAGGGGGCCTCAGAGAAGGGAGAGTAAGAGGAGAATCTCCGGAAGAGCATGACTGCCTGGAGTGTGGGACCAGCTAGACTCCAGGGAGCAAGGTCCGAGGTGGAAGAGACCTCAGAGGGGGGAGGGACAGAGGGGCAGGACATCCACATGACCAGGATTCCCCAGAGAGGGGCTCCCTGCGGCTGGGTCTGCCCACCCAAGTGTGGGCACCACGCTCCCACACACAGACACACTGATGCTCCTCTCCGGGAACCACTTTCTCCCCACCCGCAGTCACCTGTGGCCTCCGGCACCTTCCACTGCGCTGCCACTTGCTGAAGCCACGTCCTGCAGTCCCCGTGGCACAGCTTCAGGAGAAACTCGTCCAGTCTCTGTCCCTGCCCACTAGTGCAGCATCCCCGTGTCTGCGGGCCTCTCCACCGTCCAGTATCTCTTCCCTGAGTCCAGGCGCACGGACCGGCCATCACCGATGACCAAGCGCCAGGCTGCGCGGCTGTGTCCGCTGGCCGTCCCCTCACACACCATTGTGCCCTGCAGGGAGCGGGCTCTGCCCAGAGAGAGGGGGTTCTGCTCTCACACGTCCTTGGCCCACGCGGTACCACCACTCTGGCCCCAGACTCCCCGTCCTGCTCTGTCCTCTGAGTCCCCCCTCCTCAGGGTCCCTCGGGTGGGCCCAACTCAGTATAAACACCACAGTTCACACAACCTGCGGGGTTTTCTAGACCCACAGGGACGTTCCTCTGCCCTGGGCTTGCAACTCACCACTGGTTCTAGGCACTTCTGCTTGCAGGTCAAGCACTTTCCCTTTGAGCTTCTCCATCAGGTCTATGAGGGTTTCAGTGTGTCCCTCCCAGGCCTAGGTGGTGCTCTCCTGATCCCCAGGGGAAAGACAGGTTTCACCTGCTGTCCCCACAGTGAATGTGAAGGAAAAGAGATCCCATCCCCTGGCCCCGAACCGCACACCACGGCTGTCCAGCTTTGGGCCCAGGAATGATGGTGAAGCTGAAGCAGAGGTGGTGGGGATCTGTGAAGGAAAACACAGCGGGCTTCGAGTGGGAGGAAGGCAGGCGGAGGCCTGGGCTGGAAGAGCAAGGCCTCCCCGGGTGGCTCAGATTTCTGGGCCTGTCCCCACTGCCCTCTGGGCTACCAGCTAGCTCCAGTGCTCAGGCTCACAGATCCGTCTGCCCCTGGCACATGCCAGGGGTCTGGGAGACTCTCAGGGCATGTACTTCACTGCAGGCCTGAGGGGCCTGGTGGGGCCTGTGGGAGAAGCTGGTTAGAGGTGCCCAATGGAGCTTCTGCCCCAGGACAACTGTGAGCAATTGGTTAATCTGTCACTACCAGCCCCCCCACTCCCTTCTGGGCCTTCCCTGCTACCCCATTCCCGGCCCGCACTGAGCTCTGGAGTGTTGATCTAAGACAAACCAACCGGAACACAGGGAGGGTGATCGCGAGCCCGAGACCCCCCCAGCCCCATCCAACACCTGCCCTCTGCCACTTTGCAAAGGAACCTGCGCGCGGTCGCGGCGCCGCCGGCCCTCCCGGGGGAGCGAGTCGCGGCTCCCGGGTGATGAGAGGCGAGGGGTGCGCAGCCGGGC